TTTGAATATATATGTAATAAGCGCTACGCCTGCATCAGTAGTAGACTTACCGAGTTTTACTTAGAACTGGCAATATAGAAATTGATTTATAGCTGCTTAGCTCAAATCTATCTACTGATTTAAGCAGTGAAATTAATTTGCTACATTTGCTAAAACCATTAGTTGAGGAAAAACGCCATTATCAACACATTTATTGAAAATAGTAGCTAGATAAGAAGCAACAATATCTATGAATGAACTAACTACTTTAACTGACATGCCCCAGAGATCTTTCGTTTTTTTTTAACTGTTTGAACACTTTTATTATATGAAAAGGGCTGACACGTGAAAATTTAAATGTTAAAGAACAAGGGCCGACATTAGCCTCAGGAATGTTTTTGCTTGAATGGGAGATGAATCCAGAGAAGATGTAATGTCAATCGGAATATTAGCAAAAAAAATATTGGAAAATATGAACTATGTCTTTTGTTACTGTTATTAACTTATTATCATAATTTAATGAGAATTGATAGCTGGCTTTTCAGATAAAATAAAATAAATATTCTGATAAACTTGGTGTAAAGAATATCAGGATTATTGCTAGATTGTAACTGTAAGTCTAATTTATATTCAACAGTGCCTTTATATTTATTAATATTATAAGCATTTATGTGTCTGTTTGATTTTTTGTTATTGTTATTTTTTTTAGTCTGATTACTAAACTTAACAACTTGACCACAGTGATCTGAAGGAAGTTTATTTATTATTATTTTTTCAATATACTCATAGTTACAAAAAACATTGTCAAGACAAGTAGCAGTCATGGCGGTTATACGAGTGGGTTCCTCAAAGACATTACTGAAATCAAATGACTGAAATAAACTAATAATTTTTGTACGTGTGGACGTATCACAAAGAATATGAACGTTAAAATCTCCACACACAATATTTTTTTTACTGCTATTAAATACTTTTTTTAATATATCCTCCATCACCTCTTGAAATACATTGTAATCACTATAAGGAGGCCTATAGACACATATAAATATCAATTTTTCTAGTTCTATACATGAGATTTCTGTACAACACTTAATAGAAAGTCCAACAATGTCAGCACTTTCCTTTACTTTAATATTATTTCTTGCAATTATCATAGACCCACCTCTGTTAACTGCCTTTCTATTGAAGCAGCTGATAACATTATAATTATTTAAACTGAACATCATATTGCCATCTTCAAACATACACCATTTTATAAATTTAGGTAGTCTTCATTACTTTAATAAAATCTGTTAGGAGATAAAACACTAAGTTAACATTCATAAAGTAACGTAACGTAAGTAATGGAAAATGCCCTATGGAAAATGTCGTTACTTCGATTGTATTGTCAGCTCGGATACAGCAATGGTAGTCTTCTACACTGCGCTATGTAGTCCATGGTGTTGTTAGTGTGGAAACACTACATATACAACAACGTGGATTACCAAGAACAGTGTATGTTTTCTTGATGTGTACATGGTGGTGCGATGATTATGGCTTGCATTTGAGTTAAATTTCTGATGAACTTGAACTTTCACGATGATAACGGCGCTGGTTCTCTTGTCACTATTCTTCAAGCAAATTTTTTAATAATGTTTTTAACACTTCAACACCGGACACAACACTTAAGTAATTGTTTCACTTCATGCGTTGGCGTTAACATTTGCAGACAGAGATTGAATAGCGATGGCGACCGGCGGTCAACTTGAACTAACTGGGCGGAAATCTTCTTTAATAATTTCTGTAATATAGGGTATATAAGATATAATTAGGTGGCGGGTACTTTTAAGGCGATATGTGAGATGGAGCCAGTCCGGAATATACGCTTGACGGATAAGCTTGGTTTTATTACACCTCATACATACGGATACGAACATTACAGTGGACGACGAGGATTCTTAATTTTTATTATAATTTTCAAGTATAAATAAAAGTGTATAAAAAGTTGTGTGAAAAAAAAAAAGAAGAAAAATTAACTACTATGTCGATCGGAAGAGTAAGCGAGTTTGATATTAGAACTGGGGCGTGGTCGTCATATATAGAAAGACTTGAGATGTACTTTACGGCCAACAGTGTAAAAAACGATCTCAAACTACCAACATTAATATCAGTCATAGGGGATGAAGCTTACGAACTCCTTGTGAATTTAGCTAGTCCAAGGAAACCGTCGGAATTGGAATACGAAGTCGCGGTCAACTTACTGCGCGATCACCTACAACCGGCACCGTCGGCATTAGTAGAGAGATTTCGATTCAGGCAGAGAAGACAAGCAGCAGATGAGAACATCGCAAGCTACGTGGCGGAATTGAAAAAGTTAACACGTCATTGCAAACTAGGGGATAACCTAAGTGAGAACCTTCGAGATCAGTTCGTGTGTGGGCTGAAGAGCGACATCATTCGACAGCGGCTTTTTGCAGAGGATGAAGAACTAAATTTCGCCCACGCGGTCAAAATTGCAACCTCTTTAGAGGCAGCGGAGCGGAACGCGGCGGCGGTGGATATCGCGGACGCGGCGAGCGGCGGGGAAACGATCGCGGGGACGGGGGGAATACACTCCCTAGTGGCCACGAACGAGCGACGACAAGCGGCGGAGACACGGAGCGGGCGCGGGGCGCGCGGATACCGTATTCGTGGCACGGGCGCTGTCTGGAGTGGAGCGCGCGGCGCGCGCGCCACTATCACGCCTCGGGGAAGAAATGCGGCACGGGCAGACAGCGGAAAAAGGCACGACTGCATTGGATGCGGTGCGGACGACCACAATTATGAAAACTGTCTCTTTCGAGAATACGTTTGCATTAAGTGCCACCGCACCGGTCACTTGCGACGTGTGTGTCCGAGGCAGAGCGCACAAAACCGGCGGTATGGCTATGCGGCTTTGCACTATGGAGATACAGCGGAGGAGGGCTGGGAAACGACCTATTCGATGCAGGAGGACTTGCATCATTTATGTCTAAACGACTACAAGGCTGTGAGTATACCGATATCTATTGAAGATAAAATTGTAAATATGGAAATCGATACCGGTACCGCGGTGTCTTGTATTAGTGGGGAAACATATAGACAGTATTTTGATTATATTAAAATAAAACCGAGTAATATTGGATTAAATTTTTACGATGGCTCATCCGTTAAGCCTTTAGGTATAATAGAAGTAAATGTATTTTATAATAATAAAAAAAAATATTGGAATTACTTGTTATCGAAGCAAGCTTCAATCTCATTATTAGGTAGGCAATGGCTGACAGAGTTGGGCATAGTGATACCTAAATTCACTAGTTGTAATAAAATAAGTAACGAGCACCTTCGGTTAGATCATGAGTTTAAAAAACTGTTTAACAGATATGAGAAGCTGTTCAGTGGCGGACTGGGGCGGTACACGGGCGGCACGGCTACGGTGAGGGTGCGCGATGGCGTGGCGCCGGTGTTCCACCGCGCGCGACCGTTGCCGTACGCGTTGCGCGAGCGGGTCGATGCAGAGCTCGACGCGATGCTGCGCGACGGTGTCATCGAGCCCGTCGACTGCTCCGACTGGGCCTCACCATTGGTGCCGGTAAATAAATCGGATGGTTCTTTGAGAATATGCGCTGATTATAAAGCAACCGTAAATCCTGTGTTACTTGTAGATCGTTATCCTTTACCAAGAATAGAGGATTTAATTGTTCGATTAAGCGGATCCCAATTTTATTCAAAAATTGATTTATCGCAGGCGTATAACCAGATCGAGCTGGATGAGACCAAAATGTATACAGTTATAAACACACATCGCGGGTTATACCGGTTAGTATATGGGTTAGCGTCGAGTGCAGGCATTTTTCAACGCATTATGTGTAGTTTACTGAGTGATATTCCCAACGTCGAGATATTCTTAGACGATGTTCTCATAGGTGGTAGGAATAGAGCTGAGCATCTACAGGCAGTGGAGGCAGTTTTTAGTAGATTAGATAAATATGGTTTTAAATTAAAAACGAGTAAATGTGTTTTTTTAGTGAAAGAAGTAAGTTATTTAGGATTTGTATTGAGCAAGGACGGAATAAAAACGGACCCGGATAAAATCCAGGCTATCACAAAAATACCACGCCCAGAGTGTGTGACCGAATTACGTTCCTTTTTAGGATTAATTAATTTTTACGCCAAATTTGTAAGGAATATGAGTTCTAGATTGGTACCTTTATACGATTTATTAAAAAAACATAAATCGTGGTATTGGTCGAGGAAATGTGAACGAGCCTTTATAGAAGTAAAGAATTTATTAGTTAGCGCTGAGGTATTAGCGCACTACGACCCGAAGCGACCGTTAGTAGTCACATGCGATGCGAGCGCGAGGGGCGTGGGGGCCGTACTCTCACAACCGAGGGAGGACGGACGCGGCGAGCGACCGATAGCTTACGCTTCGCGTACACTGAATGACGCGGAGAAGAATTACTCACAGATCCATAGGGAAGCCTTAGCTATTATATTTTCTGTTAATAAATTTCATCAATATTTGTACGGCCGACATTTCGTATTGCGTACCGACCATAAGCCTTTGGTATCGATTTTTGGGCCACATACGGGGATACCGACTATGGTAGCCAGCCGTATGCAACGGTGGGCGATAATTTTATCTGCCTACACATTTGATATAGAATACGTACGCACAGACGAGAACGGGGCGGACGGCTTGTCACGGTTGCCGATATCAGCTAGTAAACCAATGACTCGAATGACGCCCGAGCAAACATATTTACATTTTGTTCAGCAAGCTCTGCTATTAGATTACAATGAAATTAAAAATCAAACCTCTAGGGACCCCATACTATCAAAAATATTAAGTTATATACGAGACGGCTGGCCAATAGATTGCGCGATGACGAATTTGAAACCTTATTATAATCGTAAAAATTAATTATACGAGGAACTAGGTTGCGTTATGTGGGGGGCATAGACTGGTGGTGCCAGATTCTTGTAAAGAGAAAATATTATTAATGATTCATGAACCCCACATGGGGATTGTCAAATCCAAGTCCTTAGCCCGCAGCTATGTGTGGTGGGCGGGCCTGGATGAAGCGGTGGAACGAATATGTAAACAGTGCGAGGTATGCGCTGCGAATGCAGACGCGCCACCGAGACAAGTACCTCGCATGTGGCCGTGGCCTAATAAACCGTGGTCCAGACTGCACCTAGATTTCATGGGCCCTATGTTAGGGCAAACATATTTAGTGGTAGTAGATGCAACATCTAAATGGATGGAAATAATTAGGGTATCGAGCACGGCGGCAACGGGAGTAATAGATAAAGTTAGTGAACTATTTAGTAGGTTCGGACTGCCTAAACAAATTGTCACGGATAATGGACCACCCTTTACAAGCTCAGAATTTAAAAATTTTACTAGTAGTCAGGGGATTGAACATATTTTTACGGCTCCATACCACCCGGCCTCAAATGGATTAGCCGAAAACGCAGTTAAAACATTAAAAAAAGTAATTAAAAAGGCGGTTGTAGAGAAACAAAACATAAATAAAGCACTTTGGACGTATTTGTTATACTATAGAAATACCGAACATTCGACAACTGGGGAATGCCCAGCGGTTATACTATTAGGCCGTCGACTACGCACTAGATTAGATGTTATAAAACCAGATAGGGAGAGTAAAGTTTACAAAGCTCAGCAGAAACAAAGAGAATCATTTAAGGGGACAAGTAGAAAGATGCAGGTAGACGATGAGGTATGGTATAGGCATTCACAGTGGTTATTACTGGTGATATTAACATAGATATTAAATCATCGTCTCTTGCACCTCGTGCCCATGAGTACCTGAATAATCTCGCGTATCATGGCTTCCTACCAGCTCACACTCTTCCAACAAGAGGCTATAACTGCTTAGATCATATCATGCTTCGTACTAACCACTTTTCTTCTGTATTGATATATGAATCTGCAGTCACTGACCATTACTCGACGTTACTTTGTCTACACCATATAAAGAAAAGTAACCAACAACCTGTTAAAACTTTTTCACGTATTGACTATAATTCCTTAGACAATACAATGAATGAATTAGACTTTACACATATACTTACCATAGCTGATCCTAATGAAGCCGCTTCTAAATTAGTACAAGTATTATCCAAGGCTGTAACTGAAAACTCTGTTACAACAACACCTTCAAAGAGGAATAGAATACTTAAGCCATGGATTACTCCAGGCTTACTAAGATGTATTAGGAATAGGGACTCCATGCATAAAAAGTTAAGACACTCGCCGGATAATACAATACTAAAAATCACATATCAAAGATACAGAAATTATTGTACTAAAATAATAAAAAAAGCAAAAAGGCAATTTGACAGGCAAGAACTTTATAAAGCAGGCAAAGACCCTAAACTGTTGTGGAATTCTATAAAAAGAATAACATACACATCTAATACTAAACAACACTCCAATAAATCTTTACTCTCCACGATTACACCCATTCAGTCGTGTAATGCTGTAAATAGGTACTTTGTTGGTATAGGGAAAGAACTCGCTGACAAAGTTGGAGCAAACCAATTGAGTCTACAACATTCGTGTCCTCACACATACTCTTCCACAAGCAGCTTATCCTCCTTTGTGTTAGAGACTACAGACTGTAATGAAATTCTTTCCGCTATTGCCTCTTTAAAAGTCAGCGTTGCTACTGGTTGGGATGGAATACCTACATCGGTACTTAAGAGATATTCTAAAATTCTGGCACCTATTCTATCTCATGTATTTAATTCGTGTTTTAAGAAAGGTATATTCCCTGATTGTTTTAAAAAAGCCATAATACATCCTATCCACAAGGGAGGTGACGGGAATATTGCTAATAACTTTAGACCGATTGCTGTTCTTACATCTTTATCTAAACTTCTTGAACGATTAATAAACAAGCGTCTTATTCAGTACCTTTTTTTTTTTTTTTTTTTTTTTTTTTTTTTTTTTTTTTTTTTTTTTTTTTTTAACGTGTGGAAAAATCTTCAAAAGACCGTCACCCCGCCGGAGGGATGGCGAGGTGGTGTGTGGGACTTGTACCCACTAAAAAACCACACGGTGTACCTACGAGCGCCTATGCCGGAGCCAGGGGATTCGCAGGTGCATTCTACCCCAGCTCCGACGGCGACGGCCCGCCCTGTAGATGTTGTAGGGCAGGCCCCATCTCGTTTTGTGGTTAGGGCGACCTATTTCGCCCTACTCCATTGTGGAGGCGTGTGGGTACACGCGCACACCTCCGGGGCCTTTGGATTGGGGGACTGCCTCCCTCAAGGCAGTCACCCCGGCCCCAGTGGGGGATAGAGGGGGGCGGAGTTGGATACGCTCCCACCTCTAGGCCTGGCAGTCTTATTCAGTACCTTGAACATCACAACCTAATCTCTAATCAGCAGTATGGTTTTAGAAGTAACAAGTCAACGACACACGCTATAAATGACTTAATGTGCTACGTTGTCGAGCATCTCAATAACAAGGACAAGGTTCTTACAATATTCTTAGATTTGGCTAAGGCGTTCGATACCGTGCCTTTGTCGACCCTACTGCTTAAATTAGACAGAATTGGAGTCAGAGGTACCCAGCTGTCGTTATTTAAAAGCTACCTTTCTGGACGGACACAAATGGTCAAAATTGATGAGTATGTGAGTGATGAACTTCCAATATCGTATGGCGTACCTCAGTCCCTACAAGTGGCACTCGTTCACGAGTATGACTGATGAGCCCGCCACGCCGCCACATATCTGGACATTTTAGTGAACATGACTACTCATTCTACTCGACCTCGTCATAGCTACTTAAATTTGTTATATGGTAGTTACAGTATTCGCACTTTACATAAGGATGCATGCGGCAATCAATAGAAAAGCCGCTACGCTATTATACATTTCAAGAAAGCAGTATGTAAAAGAAATTATAACGTTGTCTGCTAAAAAACTTATTCTTGTTAGATATTACTGTCATTTATGAATTCATCTATCCTATAATAGGCTTCTTTACATAATATTTGTTTAATATAAATTTTGAATTGATACAGAGAGGCACTGTCAGATTTATAGTAGATTCTGGTAGTTTATTATAGAATCTTAGGCAATTACCATAGAATGAGTTACTAACTTTGTGTAGACGGCATTTAGGTAAAGTTAGCTTATTTTTATTGCGTAAGTTTCTACTTGTACAGTCTTTAAGTTTTTTGAAACTATCTAAGTTTTTCCTAGTATACATAATATTTTCATAAATGTACTGCGAGGCAACGGTGAGGATATTTAATTCTTTAAAACATTGACGTAATGACTCTCTCGAACCCATACCATAAATGGCTCTCTTTTTGTAAAATAAATATAGTATTTAAATCGGCAGCTTTACTTCACAGCAGTATGCCATATGACATAATGCTATGGAGACTAACTAAAATATACAAGTTTTGGCGTCGCCACGTCTGTTAATTCCCTTATTCTTCTAATTGCATAAGCAGCAGAACCGAGTCTACTGGCTAATTTTGAAATATGGGGCCCCCATTGTAACTTCGAGTCCACTGTTATTTAAAAAAAAATTGTACCATTAACGAAATACATTATTTCATCATTAAGCAATAGCTGCGTATTTATTTGTCTTACATTAGAAAACGTGAATTTAATACACTTAGTTTTGTTAGAATTTAATAATAGGGTATTACATGTCAACCAATTTAAATATAGCAGAGATAGCATAATTTACATCGTCTAATTGATTACTTTGGCGACCAATTTTAAACACTAACGAAGCATCATCTGCAAATAACACTATATCTGCAATTTTCTCTACCATGTAGGGAAGGTCATTTATATAAATTAAAAAGAGAAATGTGTCTAAGATTGAACCTTGAAAAACGCTGAGAGCATCCTGTGACTTCTCCCATGATTTGAATATATATGTAATAAGTGGTAAATTTGTCATCAAATCTATATATTTTGTGGTCATATAATTCAAACAAAATATTTCTACTTTTAAGTATTCCCACTGTTGCCCATTCTGTAAATTTAGATTTAACACGATATTCTTTTTTCTTGAAAATATTCTGATAAACTTGGTGTAAAGAATATCAGGATTATTGCTAGATTGTAACTGTAAGTCTAATTTATATTTAACAGTGCCTTTATATTTATTAATATTGTAAGCATTTATGTGTCTTTTTGATTTTTTGTTATTGTTATTTTTTTTAGTCTGATTACTAAACTTAACAACTTGACCACAGTGATCTGAAGGAAGTTTATTTATTATTATTTTTTCAATATACTCACAGTTACAAAAAACATTGTCAAGACAAGTAGCAGTCATGGCGGTTATACGAGTGGGTTCCTCAAAGACATTACTTAAATCAAATGACTGAAATAAACTAATAATTTTTGTACGTGTGGGCGTATCACAAAGAATATGAACGTTAAAATCTCCACACACAATATTTTTTTAGTGCTATTAAATACCTCTTCAAATACATTGTAATCACTATAAGGAGGCCTATAAACACATATAAATATCAATTTTTCTAGTTCTATAAATGAGATTTCTGTACAACACTTAATAGAAAGTCCAACAATGTCAACACTTTCCTTTACTTTAATATTATTTCTTGCAATTATCATAGACCCACCTCTGTAAACTGACTTTCTATTGAAGCAGCTGATAACATTATAATTATTTAAATTGAACATCATATTGCCATCTTCAAACATACATCCATTTTGTAAATTTAGGTAGTATTCGTTACTTTAATAAAATCTGTCAGGAGATAAAACACTAAGTTAACATTCATAAAGTAACGTAAAGTAAGTAATGGAAAATGTCGTTACTTCGATTGTATTGTCATGTATCAATGACATGTTACAAATCAACAACATTCATTGCTATGCGGATGACAGTACCGGAGATGCCTTGTACAGCGGCCATGCTAAAATGTCGCAGGCAAAAGTTATAGATTACCGGAACAAACTTGTGTCCGAAATCGAAACTTCACTCCATCAAGTTTCGGTCTGGGGTCAGGAAAATTGTGTTCAATTCAACCCCAAGAAGACACAAGTTTGCGCGTTTACCGCTAAAAAGAATCCATTTATCGTATCTCCTCAGTTTCAAGACACTCTCCTTGATGTGAAGCCAAATCTCGAGGTCCTTGGCGTTGATATATCCAGTGACGTTCAGTTTTGCGGTCATTTGGAGGACAAGGCTAAAATAGCCTCAAAAAAGCTTGGTGTGCTCAGTAGAGTGAGACGGTATTTCACGGCGGCCCATCGCTTGCAATTATACAAGGCGCAGCCTCCGGCCGCACATGTCAAATTCAAATTCAAATTCAAATTCAAATTCAAAAATCATTTATTCATGTAGGACATTTTAGCCGCTTATGAACGTCAAATTTTTACATTATAATTTTATTTTTTTCCCTACCGTCCAGTTCGGTATATAGATCCAATTGAGAAGAACTGGCAAGAAACTCAATTGAATTACTTTTTTTTTTTTAAAGCCAGTTTATTTACAATGTATATTTATATAGGTGTCTATGTCTAACATTAAATGAAAATTCAGTGCATGAACAACTATTGCCATGCACACTCGTCATTCAAGTAATCGTTTAGTGAGTAATAGGCTTTGCTCAGTAAATATGATTTAACAGATGTTTTGAATTTATTTAAGGGTAATTCCAACATATCCTTTGGTATCTTATTGTAAATTTTTATACCTATTCCCATAAAAGACCTATTAACTTTTTCTAAACGATACTTGGGGACAGCAAGTTTGTCT